GTCGACATCTGGCCGAAGAGCTCCGATAGGGTGCAGCAGACTGAGGCCCCCTCGACCTCCAGGTGGCAGCGCGCATCCAGCTGCTCCTCCACATCCCCTGCGCAGCATCGGGGCCGCAAGTGTCGCCGCGGGCGTTCTCATGCCCGTTAAAGGCCAATTGCTCAAACCTCCCGATCTGTCCTCCCTGCATTTGTGAGGCGCCTAACAGTGAGGATCGGTGGCGCGCGCCTCGCAGCCTCCTGCCCTTGCTTTGCTCCTAGTCTTACCTTCCCCCGCGATTCCAGCGATCGTCCTCCTTTTTCAATTTGAGGGAGGATGGGGGCTATGGGTTGTAGGGGGGGCCGCCTCTGGTCCGTGCAACTCTCCCCAGTCTCTTCTGCAGGCGACTCCCGAGGTGGAGCGCCGGTGCGGGGCTGGCGTTGTCACCGTGCCACGCGCGCATATTAGGTGGTTTCCGACCAGCTACTTCGCCGCCTGGAGGCTGGCTGACGGACCGGATCATCCATTTTTCTGGGCCCAGACCTCAGCTTCTCCCGGCGGCGAGGGCTGGGCTTGGGGATGGATCAGCGTTCCTGGCCGTGGCGCCCAGTCATCGGCCGCGGCGGCGCCGTCTTCCAGGCCTCGGACGGAAGCGAGCGGCGTTGCGAAGGTCTAGCCCGAGCCTGCAAATTTAGGCGCTCCAAGCTCTGAGGCGAAGGGGTCTATCCGCAAGCGATCCACCAATGAGCGAGGTGGATCGCAATGCGGGAAGGATGGTGGTGGTTTTGATCAGGGGCGGGAGAAGGGACTCAGGTGCGCTTTTTCTTTGCCGAGTGGTGTGCCAGACAGCTGTCCTCACCCCAGGCCTCCTCCCACTTACGCGTGCCTCGCTCCTTGCCTGCCTCTGCCTCTGGAATCAAGCTCGAAGATTTGCCCGCGTCCGTCGCCCACGAGAAAGTGAGAGTGTCAGCGCGCGGTACCTTTCATTCAATGGTGCCGAGGCACGCAATGCGATTTCTTTTTTGCCTATGAGCAGCAGGTGTCGGGTTGGGGGAGGTAGGTGCGTGGGTTGGGATGGGGCGCGCTCGCAGGGTTCTCTGCAAGGAAGCGCAGGGCCAGGTGGTTCCGCATGTGCCTTCCAGTCCAGAGGCGCATGCCCAGTCTTGTGGCGACTAGAGTTCTGCGTCCTTGCCTGCGCGTGTTTCTCCCTCTAGCCTTCTTTCCCGATGACAAGACATGAGCTCTCGGTTAGATATCGTCTGTAGTGCGTCGTCTCTCGCGCTGTTTTTGGCATGATGTCACTTGCCGATTCTTCTCTTTGCTCTCTCAAAATTTGCATGCCATGGTGATCTGACACCTCCCTAAGAAGGTCGTCCTGCCCCCTTTCAGACGTGGCCTCTGCGCGGTCTCGCCTCTCCTGGCGTCAGTGCGCCATGTCTCTTGCAATGCTGCGCGGAGTCGTCCACGCGACGGCAGGTGGCACTTTTCCAGGCTCGCTGCTGCTGGACACCTCTTCGCTTCTCTTCCTCCTGTTATGATTCTCCTCCCTCTCCCCTGATCGAGAACCGTTTTTCTTTACACTCTCACACCTTCCCTCGGGGGTCTCTGGGAGACTGCGGCGCTCCCCGGGACCTGGCCTCTGCGTGGCCTCGCCTGATCGGGCCCCGTGCGCCAGGTATTCTGCGCGAGGTGTCCCGCGCAGCTTTCTTGCAGAGGCAATTGCAGCGCGGCAAGGCCCCCCCCTCCAGAAAGTATACTGCGCATCGGGTTCAGGAGTGGGGTCATCGAAGCATACTCCTTCAACGTAAAGAGTTGATGACATGTCATCCAACTGCAACAAGTCCTAATGACTTGAGAGGCCCTGCCGGGCTCGCGTGCATCCCAGTGCGTTGGCGAGATTCCGCGGATGGTAGCGGAGCGTGGCCGAGTGGGCGTTGCCATCCTTGCTCTAGCGACCCTCGGTCACGCTGCCGTGGCGATGCAGGCGCTCATGGGGCGCGTGCGGCTCACGGGGGGCGAAGTGATTCGGCGCAGGGAGGTGCTCGCGGAGAACGAGAGCCTCAGGAGGCGGCTGGGCGCCGCTGGGCAGCGCCTGACCGCTGGCGAGCAGCAGCGAGGCGGAGCGCGAGACCAAGGTGCTGGACAGGCTGCGGCTGGCACAGGATGCCAGATGGTCGACATCAGGTTGCTCAACATGCCGGGGGCCTTCTCGGGCCTGCATTCGGAATGGAAGACGTGGTTGTTCGCCTTCGAGGCCTACGTCTACACAGTTTACCCCCGACTGGGGGAGCTGATCCATGAAGCATCGGTCACGGCGGACGTGGTCACTCCGCAGGGCGATCTAGACAGGGCGCTGAACGCGCAACTCTACTAAATCCTGGTCTCGGTGACCTCGGACGTGGCGAAGGTCGAGGTCAGGAAGGCGCCTCGCGGAGATAGCATGGCTGCCTGGCGGCGCTTACTTCTCGAGTTCGCGCCGAAGGAGGCGAACGGGTTCGCGGCCATGCCGTGCCGCATCGTCAAGTGTCATTTCCCAGACCCATTGATGACGAACTTGGCTGAGGTCGAGCAGCGTGTCAGGGAGTATTCTGATCAGAACGGTGACGGGATCTCAGACAACATGAAGAGAGGAGTCACCATGTCGGGCATCGAGAACGAGATGTTGGCCGACCATCTGAATTTGAACGCGTCCAGGCTGGCGACGTACGATGATCTGAAGACGGAACTGAAGGCGATCTGCTCGGCCCAGCGGCGTTGGGCTGCGCCGGGCACTGGAGGCGACGGTCTTGCTCGCATGCAGGCCGGCTCCATCGGCAAGGGCAAGGGCATGGGCGACCAGGAGGGCAAAGGCAGGGGCGGCAAAGGTAAATGCAAGAGCGTCTCCAGGGGCAAGAAGGTTAACACGAATGACAAGAGCCGCGAGACCCGCGGCTGCCGCTACTGCGGGAAGGCTGGGCACCAGGTGGCGGACTGCCGCAACAAGAGGGCCGACGAGAAGAAGGCCAGGAAGGTCTCAGCGCTGACGGTGTCCGCCAAGAGCCAGTCCAGCCAGCGTAGGTCCAACGCCAGCCACTTGCAGAATGGGGGCGCCGCATCGCAGTCGAGTCTCGCGCCGACGTTGGATGTGGCACGCTTGGCCGCACTCCGGGCGCAGATGCAGCTTTTTCAGCAGAGGAGTTGAGGACCGACGAGATCGTCAGTCCACATCGCCAGCGTCAGCGTCGGCGAGTCTCAGGAGCTCGTGGTGCCCGCGGAGTGCCACTGGCAGGTCGGGATGATCTACGACCTGGCGCAGTGCGACGCGCTTCCTGTGACGGTCGGCGAGGCGGTCGAGTGCGACGGTGGCCTCTTCGACACGGGCGGAGTACGCGTCCGAAGGAGTTCGCGAACGCGACGGAGATGTTGCCGCCGAAGTCCCCGCCCCTCTGAGAGTCGGCGACGGGCGACGAAATGAAGTGCATGGGGCGCGCGCGTCGTCTCGGCCGAGAGCGACGGCGTGCCCCTGCATATTGAATTCCAGTTGGCGAACGCGAAGCGCGCGATCGTGAGCGCAGACGCCTTCACCGATGGCGGCCGTGCTCCCGTCCTCGGGAAGGGGCCCTGCATCTGCATGACGGCCGGCCGCAATATCAAGCTGTGCAGGGGCGGGGAGACCTTCTGGTTAAGGATCAGGAGGCCCGCCGAGAGCACCTCCGAGCCGATCTACGCCAACCCGGTCCAGCCGAACGCCGAGGCTCGAGCTGTGCCGCGCGAGCCTCCACTAGATGCAAGAGATGGTGAAAAAGGAACTGCAGTGAGCGCCTCGGCGGCGGCGGCGGCGCCGCCGCCGCCGCCTCCGCCCGCGCCGCCCGTTGCCGACGACGCCCAAGACCGACCCGACCACGAAGGGTATCACAGAGGAACAGTACGGCGTCAGTGTGGAGATGAGGCTCCTGCTTCAAGACTCTGCCGAGTCGGCGGCAGTAAAAGCCAGAGGGGTCCCGGTGATGTCTGATCGAGCCACTCGAGATCAGCATCGCCTTGCGCACTGGCCCTTCCGCGCGTGGTGCCTGTTCTGCATCTTGGGCCGCGGTCAGGAGTGCCTGCGCGCGCGCCTGGCAGACCGGGCGCGCCTGATCCCGCTCGTCTGCGTCGACTACATGTTCTTGGGGGGCATGGAGGGCGATCCGCTCGCAGTCCTCATGGGGAAAGGTCCTGCAGCACCTGGAGGTGCGCTGGCGAGCTCGTTTCACCCCACCCCCAACCTCAAACGCGATTTTGGGCCACAGGGGAGGGGGAGAGGGGGAGGGGGACAACCGAATGTCTCACACGCCTTGTCAACCCTTGTATGTGAGGGAGACATAGATTCTTCCTTCTTGCCCCCACTCTTACTTCGACTGCCTTCCAGTATAGTGGGCAAGATTCCTTGTGGCCGCTAGTTTCCCCCGTGTTGCATCTGGCCGTTGGAACAAAGAACGGGCGCCCCAGTACATAATAGGTTCGAGCTTGTGATTTCGTTGTCGTGTAGAGTTTCCGCGTGTGCGTCATGCGTTTGGTGATGCCATGGAGCTTCACACGCGTACCTAGGTTGTCACCCGTGATTGGGTGATGGGATTGATTCTGTTCTGAACAAGAATGAATGCGCCAGACGGTATTGTGAATGTTTGTCATGGTCTCCTTCTTTCTTTGGCATTGCTCGCTTTTTTAAGGTTTCATTGACTGGGCTTTTCCTCCTCCTCCTTCTCCTCCTCCACATCCCCCCGTAAATCGTCGTCTCCCTCACCCTAGACAAGGGGGAGAGGGCAGGATTGTGAGACGACACGCGCGAAGATGTATTGCAGATCCATGGGTGGATCTGGCAAGTCGACGCGGCAACGGTGCCTAGCGAATTTTGCATGGAAGAGGGACCCGTCGCTAATCCACGCTCCTCAATCCATGTTTGCGTCTCTTCGAGAAACGGACAGGGAGGAAGAGCCTGAGGAGGGGGGGGTGGCTGCTGCTGGAACGTGCAGGCTGAGGCCTCGGGAGCGGCACCCTTGCAGGTGAGCCGGATGTCTGGCCCGAAGCAGAACGCAATGTGCCAGCGCATGCGGGGCGACAACAAGTGCCCACCCTTCGTGGGGCTCCGCAAGCACGGTAGCAAGGTGAGCGTCAACAGGCGCCCCGGCGGGGGCAAGACCGAGTGTGGGGCATGGTAGGGCTCGGCTTGCTTGCCCTCGCTGTCGCTTCCCTGCTTCCCTCGTGACCCTCGGGCGGTCCCGTGGTCGCCACGACTCTACGCGGCTCGGAAAGCATGTCAGGCCAATACCTCGGACGCGTGTCGGCACGGATTATTTGAGCGGCTTTTGGCAGGGTGGGGCACGAGACGCGTGTGACGGAGTGAGAGGTCAGGAGGGGAAGGAGGAGGGGAATGAACAGATACATGGTGAGGCGAAGGATGAGGTCGATCAGGAGGACGGTTAAGAAGAGGAGGAGGAGGAGGAGGAGGAGGAGGAGGAGGAGGAGGAGGAGGAGGAGGAGGAGGAGGAGGAGGAGGAGGGAGGGAGGAGGGAGGAGGGAGGAGGGAGGAGGGAGGAGGCGGGAGGAGGGAGGAGGGAGGAGGGAGGAGGGAGGGAGGAGGAGAGGAGGGAGGAGGAGGAGGAGGAGGGAGGAGGAGGAGGAGGGAGGAGGGAGGAGGGAGGAGGAGGAGGAAGGAGGAAGGAGGAGGAGGAGGAGGAGGAGGAGGAGGGAGGAGGAGGAGGAGGAGGAGGAGGAGGAGGAGGAGGAGGAGGAGGAGGAGGAGGAGGAGGAGGAGGAGGAGGGAGGAGGAGGAGGAGGAGGAGGAGGAGGCGGAGGAGAGGAGGAGGAGGAGGAGGAGGAGGAGAGGAGGAGGAGGAGGAGGAGGAGGAGGAGGAGGGAGGAGCTGGAGGTTGATGATGGCGACACGTGCGTCGCTGGCAGCCAGGTGCGGCTCGCGCGCATGGGGTGCACGCGGGGTCGTGCCTGCGTGTCCGAAGCGAGAAACAAACGCTGAGGGCGACGACGAGGAGGGCGAGGAGGGCGCTCCGCCTTCGCCAGCCCCCACCTCCCGCTCACCCCACCCCCTCCTCGTCCTCCTTCCTCCTCCCTCGGCCCTCTTCTCCTCCTCCTCCTCCTCGCCCTACCTCGGCCTCCCTCGTGCCTCTCGCACTGTGCCGCGGGAGTCGGGTAAAGGCATCGGGAGTTTTTTGTAATTGGCGTATGCCTTCAAGGAGGAGGGAGAATTTGTGACGGAATGTTTTTTGTACAGTTTTCGGTTTCTGGGGGTTCTGGAGGGCCCTGGGACCATCAACGTAGATACTCGACAATAAAAGCGGCCACGGGAGCAACTGATATTTCTCAAGGTCCACGTTGTGAACGAATCACGAAGTCTGGGGTCCAGGGGAGGTGCAGGAGGAGGGTAGCAGCTATCTTCTCAAAACGCAGGGGACGACAACAACGCGGACATCTTGGGTCGGCGCCGGACCCCCTTGCGGCTCCTCTGGCGGCGTGTTTGCGACGCCCCAGCGCGCTTCGCACGCCAGAAGGATTTCTGGGGCCGACACAAGAGATCAGCGGGAACCTACTCCAGTGGATGCTGATGTAAATTGGTCATTACTAACGCTTCCCTCGCCTATGTATTCGACGCTCCACTTTTTTCCCTTGCGGAGTGTAGGTAGGGCATGGATCATGCGGAGCGACTGTCTCCGCAGCTGTGATCGCTACTCAAGCAAAAGCGCGCGCGCCGGCTAGCTGGGTGGGCCCGCCGTACGCACGCGCATACGGATACATTATAGTTTGGTTAGAGTAGTTCCGCTCAACGGACTTAGTTAGCCATGTACTCACCAGTTCGTCGCGAGTGGCTAGCTTCCTGTGAGCTACCAGAAGAAGAATAAGATCAACAAGCGTAGCAATCCATTAAAAATCAATACACATTCGCCTAACAGGAAGATGGAATGGCAAACGCCAGTTATCAGCCGAAAGTTCTTCCACGTGGCCAGGAGGTGTTTTTGGTGCACCAGAATACCCACATGGCTTTCAAGAGGTTGCGGAAGTCGCCTTCCAAGACACTGGCGATGTCAGGGGCCCGACTTTACGCTCCTCGCAGAACGCGAGTCTGAACGTGCTCGTCTCCGTGTCTAGCGGCGACAGTTCTCCCTTGGTTCGGATGCGCCTAGGCTTGGATATGATTTCGCGTTGGCACAGGAATTCCACCCATCGATGTATCTTCGGATGGCGACGCATCTGAACATTCCCCTTCGACACTTCGACGCCAATGTCGAGGCGCACGAGGAGGGGGGCAATCGTCGGACCGATGGTTTAGTCGAGCAACTTCGCCAGGGGCACGAAATCCTGTCCAGTTCGGAACTTGATGCGACTGAAGACCCCATGCGGAGACCCTTTCTCTGATGACGTTCCACGAACGCCCGCGGTGAGACAATCCCGAGATGACGTGATTTTGCGAAAGCCGCCGAGGGCCAAGCGGCCGAGGACGGTTAGCTCACCAGAAGAGTTAGGCAATGCCGATCAAGAGATGGCTGGAGAGTGAGACGCGAATTTCATAATGCCCGCTTCGCCTGAGGGAATCGGAACGAGTCGACCAGGGCGGCTGATGGCAAGTCCTACCCAGGCCGTCCTCTCAAGGGCCCGCTCGCCTCGGGTCCGAGTTGGAGCGCCCGCCAGGCGGCGGGGGCCGCGGGCGACCGTCGGGGGCGTCATCGCGATCGGTATGCACCGCTCGCTCGAACGCATCGAGCTGTCGTATGCTAGATGAATGTTTTCAAACATGGGTCGACTCTGCCGACGTCCCAGATTTCAGATGCCCCAGAATTCTTGGCGCGTGTAGAAAGCCTGTTTGCTCGGCGTGCTCCGTGAACTGCTCCGAATGCTCCGAATGCAACTTGAACTTCCTCTACTCTGGCTGCCTCGCCCCCGGCGCGCGTAATTGCATGGCCCTCCGCCGCCGAGTGGGGGTGGGGGTGGGTGGGTGGGTGGGGGGGGGGTGTGGGGGGTGGGGGATAGGCGAGAGAGGAAACGCGCCATTCCGATGAAAGACCGAGAAAGGGAAATAGCGCCCGCGCAGGAACAGGTCAGGACTGCGGAACTTCAGCAGAGGGCGGCGGCAAGGCCTTAGATCGAGGGCGACCGACGGGCCGCTGCTCGCGACTTGGAGCGCTGTGAGGGACGCCTGCGACTTGCAATGGTTGACAGAACCGAGAGGACCCAGGTCGAGATGGCAGACGTGGCGCGCCGACTCGAGGCAAGTGAGGCGGCAGAAAGGCAGGCGCGAGCTGCTGCTGAGACTGCTGCTGAAAGAGCTGCTTCCGCTGTGTTGGGGGCAACCAGAGTCAGCTGGCGGTGGCGGGTCAGCTGACTGCTGAATTTACGGCCGGAGTAGAGCGCAATGCGGTGTTGGCATCTGGGGCTGACATCAAGATTCAGGAATCGGCGCCGGAAGAAGGGCCGCCGTCGAAGCGGCTGAACGCGCGGCTGACGAGTATGCAGTTCTGCTACGTAGAGCCCGATGCGAAGTCGATGATTCTCGGCAGCGGGGGCGCGCCATCGCCAAGGAATCGAGCGCCTCGTCGGCGCGCGCGATCGCCGAAGCCAGGGGGGCTTCGCTGAGAACTCTGATGGTGGAAGGAGATGCCGACGCCAAAATAGGCGCTGCGCCCCGTGACATAGAAGTGGCTGCGACGCAGACACTCGAACAAGTAGAAGCTTGTCGCGAGGCGCAGTGTCGCGAACTATTGGAGCTGCATATCGCGGGCAAGCTGAGAGAACATGCCCCAGAGAAAAGCCGTCTGCGCCCATTAGTGCGGCGCGCAGAGCATCGGGCTCCCGCGACGTGGCGCGCCCGCCTGCTCGCTCGGCAGTGGGCGCTGGGTCCTTGTGGCGTCTTCTCTGTTCAACTAATGCAGTTCGCGGCTGTCGATGCTGTGCGAACGCCTCTCGTGGGGGCCATTCGGGTCGGGGGAAAATTGTTGCGCGTTTTGCCTCGCAGTGTCCGTTCGGAGGAGGCGGAGGGCGGGGGGTGGGAAGATGGAGGATGGAGAGAATGAGCGTATGGTTAGGATGGAGATGGAAGAGTGCGTGGCCGCTCAAACATTACCGGGAGCACGGCCATGCGATTGTCGACCTAATGCGAGGAGGCCGCGCGGCGAGCACAGGCAGTTGACATCTTTGCTGCGCGAGGCAGACAATAATATGGAACGCCTCGCTGCAGCCTGCGAGCAGCGAAGAAAACTGCGCGCGGAAAAAGAAAGCAGAGGCAGAGCTTGTCGCCGAAAAGCAGGACACTTAACGAGAGGAGATATGGGGAGACGACGAGCGTCGGAAAAGGCATGGTAAGGATGGGGTCGCTGTGGAGGCGGTGCCAGTCTCGAGGTTCCTTGGTTTCGCTCCCCTTCGTTCCCGGGAACCTGGAGGCGGAGGCGACGGCGGTGGCGGTGCGTTTGAAAGGTGCGGAATCCGATGCGTCCGCCCCAAGGGGCGGCGCCCCTGCCAAGGGATAGAAAGGCTCGGGCCCGCCGGGCGACGGCGGTGGTGGATCCGATGATGATTCAGACTTCGTACCAGATGAGTCTGAGGGCGGGGGTGAGGGCCCCCCGGGCGACGAGGAGAGCGGTGACGGAGACAAGCGTCGTAGGCGTTGCGACCCTCCGGGTGGCGATCCTCCGCCAGTGGATGGAAATCTTGTGTATCTCCCGAGCGGTGTTCTGGGCGCGGGAGGCGTGTGGACAGATGTGGGAAAGGCGGACAATGTCGTCCGTGATCCTATCCCTGATGCCAGTGGGTACAAGATGTGGATGAGGAGCGTTGTTAGGCTTGTCTCGTCTTGCTACGCGCAGTGGGCAGGAGTGGCCCCCTGTATCAATGCTGCCTTCCAGCTCAAAGGGGCCCCTGCAGGGAGCCTCGACGACCCCGGCGAATTGGGGGACTTGATTGGATGATCGCCTCGGACTTGATGTCGAGGGTCAACAGAATCTCGAAAGACGCGAAGGCGTCGCCTCCTATCAGACACATGGCAAGTGAAAGCGACAGCCTTGATCTTAAGTAACCGAAGGAATCGAGGATGCTTTCGGGCCGTGCTTTTTCGCGGACCATTTCCGCGCGCCTTGCTGCTCGACGGGGCCACGGTTAGGTGCATGCGCGCCAGGG